AAAGGGCAGGGTCACAACTGTTGCACATACTGTGCCCGCAGGGCTGCAGCTTGCTCCTTGCATAGCAGTTCCTAGTGGAAAGGAAGCACGCAACTCAAAACGCACGACACCAGACCGCAAGGCACTAAAAAAATCTGACGCCGAGTCGGGCAGGAAGTAAGCTGCGGCAACACGTTCAGACAGCACCGGCCACGAAGAAAAAAAATCTGACGCGGAGTCCAGCAAGAAATGGGCAAATCTTACGCCCGATCCGAAGCCAAAAGAAGCAAGAGACGACTACCATGCGATTGCGACTAGAACCATGACTACTACTGGCAGCCTACTACTAGTACCACTACTATGACGACTACTACTACTACTACTACTACTACTACTACGACTACTACTACCACGACTACTACTACCACGAGTACTACTACTACGACGACGACTCCTGCTACTACTTCTAGCACTGCTACCAGTACGACTACATACTACCACTACTACTACCAGCACGACCAGTACCAGGAAGCCGAGACAGAAGGTAGGTTTTTTCAGGAAGAACTGCCAGCTCGCAAGAGTTCAATCACTGTCGGAGCCGGAACTCGCCGCTGCCGGCGCGGCGGCGGCCTGCGTTCAGAGTGTTGGGTGGAGGGCCAGCGACAGCGTAACCAAGTCCACTGAGACCCACACAAGACGCTTCTGGGCGGCGGTGGCCTGGCGACGCAACGACCGGCAAGACCAACCAGAGACAACGCAAAGAAGACAAACCGAGACCCACACTTCTCGGGAGAACATGCATCGGCAAGCCCCGCACACGGGGTCGCCGTTCTCCAAATTGGAAGCTTGCGCCTGACGCAGAGCAAGAAGCCGAAAAGCACACACAAACTGCGAGGGCCTCTTCATCTTCCCCAGGTCGCCTGCCGACATGGGAAACAATTTTTCAAGATCGAAGACGCCGCAAGAAGGCCTGCCGCTTTGACAAGGCGCGGGTCTCGCAGGTTGTGCACATCTGGTCTTCTTGCATTTCTTCACGGCACAGACCTATCGAGGACGGAGACAGCAGGAAAGGCTGGGCCGCTGCGGCCTTGCCCTCGGAGGCGTCCGCTTTGAAAAGGGGACCTCGCGCAACAGCTAGGACAGAAAGCAGAACTTCGTCACATGCGGTCGAAGCACGGAGCAGCTTCGCCAGCTGCACACGGTCTGCCAACGACATCGCCTGCAAAAGGCGACAAATCCAGCAACAGCAAGCGTCTCTGTGTCGGGCTTGAACCCCGACGTGCACGTCTTCTGGCTTCAAGCGAGCGAAGGTGCGCTGCACAACTTCCGGAGAGAAGTAAGCTTCGCGCATGACGGCAGAAGGTGCGAGGACGGAAGAGGCTGGTGTCGAAAGCAGAAAAGGCTGCAGGTGCAAGGCGACGAACGAGCACGTCCGCGACTTTAGCACCGCTGCCAAACTATTATGGCAGAAGCACGAGTACGACGAGTACTACCACAAGGACCACTACTGCTGCGACGACTACTCCTACTACTACTACTACTACTACTACTACTACTACTACCAGGACTACTAGGACTACTACTACTACTACTACTACTACTACTACTACTACGACTAATAGTAGTAGTAGTAGTAGTAGTAGTACTAC